TGGATGCAGCCCAAGGTCAACCCACCACTGTATATTTGGCAAAAAATGTCCCATGTCTCACATTCTGTGTCTTATTCTGAAGTTTGGGCATCTGAGATTTTTGGTTTTGGTTAATTTTTAATTTAAGCTTTCTCATCAATATTCATTATAAAATAAAGTTGTATTCAAATTCTGGAACCAGCAACAGTTCTTTTTCCCTATGGTGGTTCTACTTTGCATTCAACCCTAGCGAATGCCCAGAGAGGAAGGACCTCCATGAGGTCTTCTAGCAGCCCTGTCTTCAAATTGGTGTGTCTGGAAATAGATGCAAAATTTGATGAAGAGCATTTCTGTGTAACTTCCCAGGAGTTTTGTGGGACCATCGACTGTGAGATTCTGTCTGAACTTTAAGACCCGTTATCGCGATTACATCGTCAGGAAAAGCTTAAGTATTGGCTAGGCTGTGAGAGAATCTGGAATTATTATTTTTCCTTTAAAAACGATGACCCAATATAAGAAGTTTATACAGTGAATTTAAACAATTATGCAAAGTTCTTTTTTCAATAAAACTCTGTTGTCTTTGATCTTCTGTAGTCTCTATCCCTGTCTGTATTCATTTCTGAAAATGTAATGCAGTTTTTAAAGATCCAATGTAAATTAAATGTAAAATCAAAATAGTGAGAGCATACAGATAAGTGAAAAGTCTATAGCAGCAGTAACTCAAGGAGCAGGTAGGGAATACAGAAGAGATTGTCTGCAAAAAAAAAAAATCCACTTCACATGTAAATATATTGTTCAGAGATGTCAAAACCTGAAAAGTTTACTTAGCAATTACAAGTTTGTGGTGAAGACCTCTTAATCATATAGCTGGTAGTTACATCACTAATGTTTTTTCCAGTATTTTGTGCAAAGTGAATCTACCGGACTCAGAGAAGGAACTCGAGGCAAAGTCTCAAACCTTTGTACTTTAGAGACAGTTTTCTCTTTATTCCAGCCTCCCTAAATATTTTAAATCTTCCGTGTAAAGTGAAACAGCATTATTGACAGCTACTGTTTAATTAAAAGTTCTCATAATCCTTAGCTATACTGATAGTGCAGCTCATGCACTATATCACAATCCTGGTAGTTAGTAAGGAATGTTATAGTTTGTTTTTTCTGTTATGTAACACTTCTGCAGTAGACTGTGAAGTTGAATATTCTGTAAACAACCAATTCCAAGCATAAAGATTTACTGGCTATCTGAAACCGCTTTGCCAGCAGATGAGCCTTTAGAGATCCTGGGTTACGAGCAGAAGGATAACAAGGTCTCTACCGCTACTGTCCAATTTGTAGAACTAGGTGTGCGTTTTGTGCATTTGATTCAAGTGATCACAAAATGTTCATGTCCAAAGCATTTTGTTTATCTCTTATCTCCCCAATTAGCACGGTCAAAATCTCTTCATCCTTCTGAAAATACATATTCATAGGATTTGTGTATGAATTATAGTCACACAAATATAAAGCTTCTTTGAAAGTTTTTCCCCTTAGACTGGGAGACGTTTCTTCCTGAGATTCTAGACAAGCCAATAACATAAAGATGTTTGAAGTCTATGTTTCAAAGTAGATACTTATAATTGTGTTTTTTCTTTTTTTCTTTTCTTCCCCCCAGTGGAATTTGATGACTGCAAGGGGAATAACAAATTGAACTTCGAAGTTTCTAACCCAGACTTTAAGGTGGAACGTGATGGGTCTTTAGTTGCGCTAAAGAATATATCAGAAGCTGGCAGAGCCTTGTTTGTGCACGCACGGTCTGAGCATGCTGAGGATATGGCAGAAATTTTGATTGTTGGAGCAAATGAAAAACGTGATGCATTAAAGGTAAGATAAATACAAAAGACTAGAAGAAAGTGCCAAATAGAGGCTGCTAGATATTTGCATGTGCCATCTAGGACTGTAAGCAGTTTTAATCTGTTAAAGGACATCAAAATCAGTCTTGAATCCAGATATTGCTGTAATATTTTAGTACTTAGTTTAACTTAAAATACAAATTTTCCAGGTTTTCAAAGATGTACTACATCTTTAGGTGTAAATGCTAAACATTCATAAAAAATTGATTAAAATGAAAGACCCAAGTATCAAAATTGGCTGGTGCTTCTGGTGTACATTATGCCAGATAACCACAGTTTGGCCATAACTGAAAATGGAAAATCACAGTCTAAATGTGTAATTTAGAATTTACAGAACGTTCACATCCACTCCAAGTGTAAGTAAGTGGGAATGAATTCCATGCTGTGGAATTTAAATTTTCATATAGATCTGCTTATCTGATATTGTTAGATGTTAAACTGTATAAACATCTGCACACAAATAGCAACACATATTTACACTCTGTCTCTATGCAGTAGTGATTTTTGTTCCACTCTGTCCGCTGAACGACATGTCCTTTCTTTTCCACTTCTGAATTTCAGTGTAATACTAACCTCATACTATGGGGAAAAAGTGCTTCACAAATTGATTGAAGTGTTTACTTCACACCCATGCAAATAAAAAAAGGAAATGGGAGATAGCCTTCACTACTGTGTCATGGCATTTAGAAGAGAGGCAGGCAAGACAGTGCCTTACTACACAATTAAGCGTGCTACGTTTACAGACCTATAATTTCAAGGAAGTATAAACAAACCGTGATAAAAATGACTGATCTGTTGTCTTATTTTGGTATTTAGACTTTCAACTGCCAGCATTCTCATTATATTTCCAACAATGGCTTAATATAACTTAAATCTTCCATTAAAAAACAAAATTAGCTTTAGGGGAAAGGTTGAACAAACTTCTGGAAGTCCATGGCTGAGGAAAGTTTTTGATCTGCACTTTAAGCAGCATGCGATATGAATATAGATTGCCAGTGGGAGAGAAAGTACCAGAATGTGTAACTGCAGAAAGCTGATCAGAACACTTAAATAGAATTTTATTTAAATATGCTGTTTCTTCACAAAGTTAAATTTTAACAAGGCCGTACTTGAGTCTCTTACGTGGTGGAGCTGTGGATTTAGGACCATGCATTGCCAAATTCGGAGTCGGAAAGCTACACTAGCAGGAGCTGGGCACTTGGCTGTACTGTGTCTCCAACTAGCATGGCATGCTCCTTCTGGTGCACTCCCAAGAATGTTCAAATGATTTTGTTTTCACTCCAGGTTTTGAAATCTTAGGATCAGTTTCAAAATGGGGATTCTCATTCTCCAGTTAGAAGTTACTGAAACCACAGAGGAGTTTGAGATATCTCTGACAGGAGGTCTGGAGTTAAACTTCAGGGCATGGGTTTATGTGTGAAAATCTGACTCTCTGAGAATCATATTCTGAAGTTTTATTCTGGTTTTCTTAAAGACATTGAAGGGCTGCTTCTCTGAGGGGAGATATTCTATGAAAGTTACAATCTAGGGGAAATCTTGTCTCATGAGTAGGAATTAATACATGTGTATTTGCACAGACAATGGCATAGCTTTGCCAGTGACCTTTTCTCTTTATGTCCTGTTTGGATTCTGAGTAGTGTCCCCTCAAAATGTTGCAGCAATATTAATTAATGTTTAGTGTTGAAATCTATCACCAGACTACATTCAAAAGCCAAGTCTAATTTGGCCTCACTCCTGGGTTCTGTTCCAACTACTTTGTGTTGCTTCAGAGAGTGAATACCAGTCTAAATCTGGCATATTTCTGCCACTTGCCAGTCTTCCCTCATCGGTTACTCCTCAAAACAATATCACAGCATCATCTCTACCTGCATTCATCACTTCTTTATGGATTTGGATATTCAGGTTGTAGCTGGAAGATTACCTTTTAATTGTGGTGATCCTTGGTGTCTGCAGTGCCATTGGGAGTTACATGATGCATTAATGTGTCCTGGGAGATCCATCTAGTAAGGATCATCCACTTCTTCAAGGGAATATAAAGATCTTTGGGGCTGGCTGTCCTACTCTGAACTCAGCCAGCACTCTGTAGCTGTTAAATCAATATTTTTACCAACTGTTTCAGCTATTGTATGCCTATTTTAAACACAATGCAGACGGTCTTGTCTTTCTGTTTGTCATACTTGAGAAGGATATAAAGATTACAGCGTCCTATCTAAAGTGATTTTATGATAAATTTGAACTTAATCCTGTACTTTTGCAGTCTAAATGTGTCAGCATGGAAACAGCAGAACTGCTCCATCTGTTTATGCAAGGAGTCTTGGCTAAGAAATGCTCAGATGGAGCCTTAGTAATTCGGCATAATTCTGTAGGGTTAAGATGAGCACATGCTAGAGCACTGCTTAGCATTCAGTACTTAGAGTACAGTACCTTGTTTAATTAGGGGATAAGTGGTTCTTAAGTATTTCCCCACTGCCAGCAACTGCTGTTTCTTTTCTGAAAGCATGTAACCTACATCTGTGAAATCCCATTGTTAATGTTTCTAATTGCAGATTCCCAACATCTTTGGAAATGACTGACAACAATGATCTCTAATGTGCTGACTGGCAGTCTGAGCCTAGGAAGAGATACTCATTCCTAAAACTTTCTGATTACTACCAACTATTCTTTAGATGAATATTGAAAATATTTAGAGGTGCAACCTGGAGTGTGCGGGAAACCTTTTGGTATTCTAGAGGTGGAGGGGTGTGGTTCTTTCCTGC